CTTCTGAAGACGATGTAACATTTTTTTTGAAAAATGATTTACATCTTCTATCTTCACAATTGATATATCTTTATATGGAGGATCATTTGACAGTTTCGGAAACACTTTTGCATCTCCATCTCCGATATAACTACAATTAAAAAAAGTAGAAAAATAAATCCAATAAATTTTTATTTACTGAGTATATTGAACATTGTATAATCTTTCGGAACGTGAAAATAAACGATATATGCCATCAACCTCCATGGACGCTAAAACAAACAAATAAATATATATTAGAAACTGTTATATCAAGTGGTACCGGATGAGGCGAAATGATTTATTTCACATTGGTGTGTATTTTTTATTTCCATATATTTATTTGGATTTGAATTTTTAATGCTCAGAAGACCAGTACAAATTGAACATTTTTTCGATAATCTTTCTATATCTAATACCTAAAAATAAGATAGAGAATATACAATAAATTAATCGTATCCATACTTTAGCAGTTGGCACTGTAGATAAAATATCTACGATTCCATGTAAACTAGAAAAGCCACGTGTTTGCCAAGTACCATCCCCACTAACAGTAATTTTACATCCATTTGATTTTTTGCAAGTTTCTTCGATAGCATTTTGCATTGATAGAGACTTGTGTGATTCAAATATTGGAAGTAGATATTCGATGGTCTCAGAAAAATGATCTTCATCAATGGGAGTTGGTAAGTTCAGTATAGCACAAAGCTTTGTGAGACCTTGATGACCAATACCAACGAAATTCGCTCCTAAATGTTAGGCGAAAATATCGATTATCAAATTATTTATAATAAACTCACCGATTGCACTTCGAACATTTATGTCTCTTTTAGAAGTATTTAAACATTGTTTAGATGTATTTATTTTAATCTCATAAGAGCAGCGACATGTAAACACCAGCGAACAATAAAGACCTAGAACATAAATGTAAATCTCAAGTTTTATTCGAGAGAAAACACAATAAACAGTACCTTCTCTCTTTGATATGGACATATCACCGTTCCACATCACTTTGCATGATACACATATTGTTTGTTTCATAAGTTCCAATAGAAATAAATTATGAATTATTTGATAATAATCATTAACATTTTTATTATCATCTATACTTTGTGTTTCAAGAAAGTTTGATAATTTTTGATGTGATGGACCACTAAATGAGCGTGTTTTGTACATGAATTGTTTGTTACTCTTTGATTGATCTTTATCAGAAATAAGAGCATTTTGTAGTATACGAGTGTCTCTTTTAACATTGATTTTAGTTCTTTGCAATTTGGAACTGTTTCGAGCCAGCCGTAACTTTCTCTCTTTTTTCAAAATAGTTGATCGTGCCATTTGAAATATAAATTAATAGATCTAAAACAAAATTTTGTAAGCTTTTGTTAGTATAGGAGTATGAGTGACGTTTAATAAGCTTCTGTATCTTATTTACTGAAAATTATTGAAAAAAACTTTTAATTATTCAAAATTTATCTGAAATTCCAAGTAAAATAAATTGTCTTGTAGAGAAGTGTAAAAATACTGGTCTTACCATAGAAGGGTAAGAGAGCAATACCGCATAAACGTGGTAGATGGCGCTACCTTACTTCATTTGTAACCAATTGTAACAAGATCTAATGAAACATGTTGAAAATATTCCGTTTTAAAATCAGTTGTCAAGGCTTTCATGAAAAAATCGATGTCTAAAACTTATTTTGTGTTTTTCTCGAAACATAGTTTTCTGACAGTAAAATTGAAATAACTTAGGCTCGGCTCAGGCATTCCCAGATATTTTTTTTTGTTTTAAAAGTCTCAGTTGGGGCTAACTTTTCA